ATCAGTAAGGGAGCCCTGAGCTTTCATTCTATTCTAAAGCATCCTATGATCTATAAATAAAAATTACAGACATAAACACATAAAGGAATATATGAAAATTCCCAGTTGTAGGTCTCCTTATCATGAGTAGCTGTTTATTAGGTGCATATGTCATGTCAGGGTTTGTGACATAGAATGGCCCCTTCTTTCAGGAACCGACTCACTGAATTCAGGACTAAGGACAAAGTAGCTCATCAATCAAATGTTATCCCCAGAGGCTCAGCTAGCATTTGCATATAAAACAATTAAAAGATCATTTTCATGACAGCAGAGTAATATATCCATCTCTGAGATGTTATGAAAATTCAACTCATAATTTATGCTAATGGATTCACCCTATCTGACATTGCTCTCTGTCCTCCTTATAGCTGGCACAGACCCCAAGCCCCAGGGAGTCCCCTATTAGGCTCTAAATTACTGTCTGAACCATAAGACTCCCTGAGTCTTGGGAAGCCACTACAGATGGTAAGAAAAACTAACAGCCAACAAAATACACCCCAAGGGACTAGACCCTTCCAAGAAATCAAAACTTTTCAAGCAAACACAGAACACATGCCTAACAGTGGGGCTCTCTTTTGATCAGCATAAAGGTGGAAAATATCCGATAGTTAAGAAGTACTTTTGCAATTCTGAAAAAACTTTGGTGTCAATTTATCAAATGTAACCAGAGAAAGATGCTGTTGGTTTGTCTTAAATGTCACGTATACTAAAAGTATAGCTGAAAAAACGGGTTGCCAATAATTCAGGGTCATTCGAAAGAACCAGATGGTTTGTCAGCCAGGCATCACTGACTTCCTACCTTCATGTCATTTCTTTAGGTAATTGGACTTGGGGTTTTCATTTGTTTGTTTGTTCATTTTGGGGTGTTTTTTTGTTTTTTTTTTAGCAAATATCCAGAAAATGCATAAACTTCACCTGAGGGGAAATCAAAAGACACATGGATTCATTCATAGCCACCTGAAATCATGGAGCTTCAGATAATCCCAAGGTCACACACAACAGTAGAGATGATGCAAAAACAAGTCATGTAACTCTAGGTACTCCCCAGGCTCTATCTCTTATACTGTTTTTGTTTCTTTCCTATCTTAATCAAAATGATAAGAGTGGATATTACACTGCACAATTGTCTTGAGCCATGCTGTATTTTCTGTTTCTTGTAAGAGCTCTATTTCTGCCAGCAGATTAAAACTCCCTGAATGCCAGGACTTGGTCTGCCTCGTATTGCTACAGACTGGAGGCAGACCAGAAGCATGGTAATGCTCAAGAATTTTTTTTAAATAATGAAGGAAAGGTTTGATTAAAAAATGAATGCATTCTCCTTGTCTTGAAGGGGACCAACCACTAGATGCTAAGCAGGGCTGAGTCTCTGATGCTACCAATATGTTCATGGACCTTTATCCTCCCCAGGTGAGACAGTTCTAGGTGAGGAACTCACTAAAACACAATGCTGGAGAGAAACAAACTTTCATCTCTCCAAAAAGCTCATAGAAGTGGCCCAGATATCTCTTTTACCTGGCCCAGGGGCATTTCTTTTATTTTCTGAACTGATTCATTCCTTTCCAGGAAGAAAACAAAATATCCTGTGATTTGAGACCTGAATCTGGGAGCAGGGAGTTCTCTTACAGCATTCTTTTCCTGGGTCATTGACTAGGAATCAAGCCTAGAGGCATTATTTCAGAGGGTCCTCCCCACCCCCAGCAAAGAGAAAGGAAAGGGAAAGAGAAAAAGCACTGGATTAACACCTGAGCAGGAAAGGTATTTTCATCAGCTAAGGTCAAATAGCTTGACCTCAAAATCTATACTACATGATTTGGCTGAGAAAAAATGCACAACATCATCTGAGAAAATCTGGTCCTGAACTTGGGTGGCTCATCATTTTAAACAATCAGGTTAGTAATAACAACTTCAGTCAACAATAACAATAACTAAGGTATCTTGAGTACCTGTTATATGCAGGCCAGTTTTTAGCCAAGTTTACTATATTAAACTCCATCGATTCTCATAATAACCCTGTGAAACAGACATCCTCATCTTCCCCATTTTACAGATGAGGAAACTAGGGCACAGAGAAACTACATAATTTTTCTAAAGTCACTCTACTAAGAATTGGCAGAGCAAGAATTCAAACCCAAGCAACTGGTCCAGCATCCACATTGACCCATTATTTGACTGCAGCTATAATTCACTGCAAATGCTAGAAGTAGAAAGGAAACTGACAGCTGTTTAGAAGGCATTAAGTTCTGATTGCTTTATCTGTGTTATCTCACTTAGTCTTCATTCCAAATGTATTATGACCCTTCCTTATTCCATAGATGGGAAAACTGAGAACAAGAGAAGTTATGATGTGCCCAGGGTCACTAGCTGATCAATGGCATAGACAGTTACCAAACCCTGGAGGTCAGAGTCCAGTACCCAAATCATTATGCACTGCACCACGCTCCCTTTCTTGCAAGCAATCTGCAGTATCCCAGCAATCTGTGCGTGCTTGATGACATGGAGAGGAGCCTGGGCATGGCATGGTCTTTTTCCCACAGAGCATGTGTGAGAGCAAGGCAGTATGGTGTATCAGAATGAGCACAGACTGCAGTCATCCAAAGCTGGGGTCAAACTCCTGCTTGGCATTTACTGTCTGTGCAGTCTTAAATAAGACTCTTTGCATCTATTTCCTCACGTCTAATCCTCAAGGTGACTCTAAGTGTCATGTGTGATGGCATGTGGAAATTCTGGTCTCAGAGGCCCTCAAACCATCTACCTCCCTGGATCCACTTACACATCTTTTGACTACAAAGAATTCAACAAGTGCACAGTAAGTCCGTCTCTGCTCAGGAGGACTGTCTACCCTCCTTGGGCCAAGTCATAGCATCTTCTTAGCAAACACTATGGGCACAATTGCCCACACATGGGCTCTCCAGTTCAGGACTGCATTTCTTCCACCACTAGCATTTGCCCTGGGAGCCAGCAGGAGCTGCAAACATACTATAGCCCTGTTACTGAGGTTTCCAGGCACCATGGTGCTGGAGAATCTGGCAGGGCATGAAATCATTATTGGATCATTGCCAACTTGGTGTTATAGGGATCCAGGTTTCAGGTGGCAATAATGTAAAAGAAATTAATGTCTTGGAAATGCTTAGATCAGTTGACAGTGGTTTGGTTTGGTTTGGATTTTGTTTGCTCTTAAAAACAAATACTATTGTAGGGCTGGGATTGTGACTCAGTGGTAGCATACTTGCCTTGCATGCATGGGGCACTGGGTTCAATCCTCAGTACCACATAAATAAATAAAATAAAGATATTGTATCCTACAACTAAAAATAAATAAATAAATAAAACTGTTGTAGGCATTCATCCTTAATAACCTGCAACATTATAAAGGCAGCGATCAGAATCTATATATCTATCATTTTTAAAACTGTACTCAAATTTTGCTAGTGTTTAAAATCCCTGGTTGATACCCTTGCTTCTCAAGTCATTGCTTTTGTGTACATGTATTTAGTCTCTTTTGGTTCCTTGAAGGTCATGTCTGACACAGTTTTAATTATTTTAAATTGCCTTTTTGTTAAATATGAATGTAAAAAATAATTTTAAAGCCTCCAGGATAATTCTTTATGAGAACATTTCCTTATTTTATGCCCAATCTTATTTATAGTGGCTCTAAATCAGTGACTAGCATACTACAGCCCACAGACTAAATCTGGCCCACTGCCTGTATTTGTAAATAAAGTTTTATTGGAACACAGTCACATCCACTTGTTTACATTTGCCTATTGATGCTTTTGTGCTATAGTGGCAGAGCTGAGTAGTTGTGACAGAGGCCATCTGGGCCTGCAAAATCTAAAATATTTACTATTCAGGTCTTTGAAGCAATGTTTGCCAACTCTTTCTCTAAAGCAAGTAGTAAGGTTCAGAATCACACAAGGTATTTTATAGCACTTATCCTTACAGTAATTAAATAATTCTCTGTTTGTGAGTGCCTGCTTGTCCTGTTATAAGTTCCTTTGAGAGACAATAGCTATTTTCTTCCCAGGGCCTAAGCACAGAAACTAGCACAATGTAGATGAAAAATTAATATCTATTAGTTGTGTGAATGAGTTACATTTTTAGATAGGTTTGAGCTCTTGAGTGTTATAAATATTCTTGGTCCTGAAAGAAAACCCGAGCCATCGAAACTTCTCAATATCAGCATATTTTCTGAACTCTAAATCTCATGGACTCTAAATGTAGAACGTAGACATGTTTTTTCAGGACATTGGTGATCAAGACAAACCCTTGTCATTATTATGATAAATCTCTTCTATACCACACCATTTGTGCCCACCCTGTCTTTAACCTCACAAAATTTTCTCTGAAGTTTGGCACTGCTGGTGCTAGTCTCATAATTAACTTGCAAAGCTGGTCCTCCATCTTTGGAATTCATCTGTGCTTCACAGAACGATGCCCAACAGCCTTCAGGGGATCTGCTGGTGTGCTCAGGCCCGTCACTTATCCCCAAGGCACATGGGCATTCAGCCACTAATACTTAGATACAAGAGAAACCAGGAGCAGATGCTACTGGATTCTGGAAAGACACAGAAAGAAGGACTGAATGGAAGAGATTTCTGGTCTTCCACTTCCAAAGTGTATTTGTAATTTGGACATGGAATATGGTTAATATTTAGAGATAAATCTGACTCTCAGGGAGGCAACAAGACTTGAAGAACAAATTAAGAGCTCAGAAGTCTAACAGACCTGGATAGGAAACCAAGCTCTGGTACTTACTTGCTGTGTAAAGTTGAGCCAATGAGTTGATTTCCCTGAGATAAAAATATTTTAATTGCAAAATGAGTATAAAATGACAACTTTGCAGGGACACTCTGGTATATTTTAAGGTGTCTACCAGTGACAGGCATTACATGTATTTTACTTTTTGCCTCTTCACATTTTTGAATGCACAAGAAGAATGATCTTTAGAAATTTCTACTTACCAAGCATTCCTTTCTTGGAACTGGACAGACACATGTCCTTCTCTGCGCTGGGCAGGGCAAAACTCACCACAAATACCTCCACTCCATCAGCCATCAGGGCCAAACCCAAGACGAAAAAGAGGGTCCACTGGAAGCGCCCATGACCACACTCATCAATGATGGTCTCATACTGGTGGGCCAGCTGCTCCTCATCTTCCATTCTCTCAGCCATAAGATCTGCCTGGCCCCGAAGGCCATCTGCCCTGGAGGGCGCCATCTTGTTCTGCTTGGCCTTGATATCATCTGGATGGGGGATGCCCTGGTACTCGCCCTCATAGATCTCATCCTCCTCATCATGGCCCTCTGTAACATCACTCTGCGCATCTTCATCCGGGTTGGATTCATTGCCCCGGTAATAGCCATCACTGGGGGCATATCCCTCATAATTGTCCTGATACTTGTAGTCATCCATCTCTTCACTCTGGGGCTGCCTAGTTATCTCTCAGCTATATTTCTTGCTCTGTGGTAGAGGTTTGGGCTGTTCCAATAACCATCATCCGTGTGTAGGATTTAAATATAGAATATGTTCATGTGTCTTCTTGAGTGAAAGTCACACCTGTTTTCTTCCTATTTGATTCTCAAGACAATCAGGTTTGTGCAAAGATTACCTAAGAGTTATTTTGCATTCAGTGTCTATTTGGAGGTCTTCAGAAAGTTGCAAGCTCTGGCCTGGTCTCCTTCAGTGACCCAGAGACACGGGCTGGGATGTACTGATTAAAAATGGACCCAGCTGCTCTTCTTGACAAGGAGCAAGTAGACTTGGCAGCTTGCTTGCTAGACTGATTTGTTCTGCCACTGAAGGTTGTGCCCTGAGAATAGAGAAAGAGAAGAATGTTATAGAAGGCTGAAGTTCTGACAAAATGGTCTCAGGATTAAACCAATATATTTAGTCATGACAATGCTTCATGGGTGAGGTAGAGGAAATCTTGATTAAACATTTGAATTCGTATCAACTGAATGATGAGTGACTCAGTGAGACTGAAGGAGGAGGGAGAAGAAACCAGGTCAGAGGCCCTCTGAAGCTCTGATTAACCCATGAAAGGGGTCAAATCTTATGCACGAATGAATCATGAAGTGGTCAAGGAATTTTGGGTACAAGATAATTTTGTGCCCCAGATTTCCTCTTTGAATTTATCAGGGCTGTATTAACAGAAGAAGTTTATTGAGTTCAATGTCTGTTATGAAAAGGCCAGCTTTTCTAACTCTGTGAAGTGGCTGTATGAGGAAGGAAGGGAAGGAAGAAGGGTGGGGGAAGGAGGGAGAAAGAGGGGAGGGAGAGAGGAAGAAAGAAAGGAAGGAAAGAAAAGGAAAAGGGAGGACAGAGAAGGAAGACAAGAAAGAAATATAAATAGATAAATCCAGGACAGTTTTCCTGAGGCTCAACACTGTGCTTCAAAGACCACTCTGACCTAGTATTGGCTTCAATGGGAAAGAATAGGAAGGAGTGGTGAAGACCCAGAGCCTCACTTCTTGAGTCTAAAACTCAGTTCTGCCACATAATGGTTGGGTGACCATTCATTCACCTTCCCAAGCCTCAATTTTCTCATCTGTAAAATGAGGATAACAATGTACTTAATAAGATTATACACAAAGTGTCTAATCTGAATGAAGCCCTGATATTATTATTGTTGTTGTTTGCTAGTTCCAATTCTGGAAGCCAGGAGCCTGGTTTATATCACAGTTTCAATCCCTAGTTCCCACTGGTGAGTTCTGTACCCAACACACTGGCATTCTGCCCTAAATTACCTTCCTAGAATCTCAAGTCTCACAAGGTTTGGAGTCACCATTTAATGATACCTACCCTATAGCAGGAAATGTGCTAAATGTTTCACATCCTTTATCTGAAATTCTCAGAACATGGAAGGAAGGAAGGAAGGAATGGAGGAAGGAAGGAAGGAAGGAAGGAAGGAAGGAAGGAAGGAAGGAAGGAAGGAAGGTCTTCCACTTACAGAGGGTTAGTAAGGTGGGTTAGTAATGTGACAAGGCCACAGAGCTAGGATCAACACAAGGTCCACTGGTCCCAAAGCCAGTTCCTTCCAGGCCTTTGTGCTTCCTAATAGTGCTCTGAGAGACTGTCACTTTACATCACCTGGGAACTTTAAAAACACAAATTCCCAGACCTTGTAAAAGGCTCAGAGCTCTGGTTTGCACACAACTCCCCAAGTGGCTCTGCTCCACCTCACTGAGCACTTCTCAGGGGCAGAGGCCGCCCCCCTCCTTCCCTCACTCCCTCCCTCACTGCACTCCAACTGTGCCAAAATGCCAGACCTCCAGAGGGACAAATGCTCAGGTCTCTGCATACCAGGGCTGCCAGAAACTCACTCCCCAGCCCAACCTACCTGCTAAAAAGTACATCTGCCATCAACTCTTACAGTCCTCGTTATCACACCTGAGATTTACTGTACTTTCCCCAGGCTCAGCAGATGTCACCTCACAATGGGTTGGCCTCCTCCTGCCCACAGCCCATCCCTGGGTCTTCTGCCCCACATCTGCCACCTGGCTCTCCTAGTCCTCAGCAATGGACAGACTCCAGCTCTGGAAATCATCTGACCCCAACAATACAATGCATTTCCTTCTAGGAGAACGCCAGAGAGCAGCCTTTCTCAGATGTGGGCCAGAACCACAGGGTACCAGTGAGAGGCTCATTAGATATGCAAATCCGAGGACTCCTCCCCAAAGACAGGAGTGCAGACACAAGACACAAAGTGAAGGAGGCCTGGAAATCTGTATTTTCCATGAGCACCACAGGGAATCCAGGGGACTGCACTTCAAAAGTGCTATGTGAGCCCGCAAGAAATATTTACTAACCACCCTTCCAGGTTTTTCATCATCCCCAGTAAATAAATTTATATTAGAGCATGCTGGCCTGAACATGTCAGATTAATATTCTAAATCTGTTTTTATTACATGCATTTAGGGACCACAGGAGAAATATAAATCACAAGTAAACAGCATGAGAATTTGCAGAATGCTACAAAAATGGGAAAGGAATGCCAACTGCCTGAGATCTGGTGTGTTATTTCCATTCTGGAGGCCCTGCAAAAGTGTCATGAGCCAGAAATGATGGATTTGTGATTTCAAAAGCACATGTGGGAAATACCACTTTGGGCAAAGATTCTGAGACTCACCTATGGAAAGAAGCAGATCCTTGTCAACACTGATCCCACTTGCCTGATGCAGTTTTAAATGCGGTAGAATAAAGGGGCTTCACAAACATTCTTATAATTTTTTAAATCTATTTAATTGAGAAATGCCAAGTTGTTTATTTGTTTGTTTGTTGACAGCAGTACAATTTCTAGAGAATGCAGCAATTAATTATTTGCAATATTGTTGATTAAATTGTGTTCCTCTAAAAAGGTATGTTGAAGCCTTAGCCCCCAGGATCTCAGAATGTGATCTCATTAGGAACAGGGTCTTTATAGGGGGTGATCAAGTTAAGATGAGATCATTAGGGTGGTCCTAATCCAATATGAGGATTGGTCCTAATCCAAAGGGGAAACTTGGATGTAGAGACAGATGTGCACAGGGGGAAGATGATATGGAAACCCAGGGAGAGTACATCTATAAGACAAAAAAGGCCTGAAGCTACCAGCAGCTGAGAGCCAGGTCTGGAACAGATTCTCCAGCACAGTCTTCAGAAGGAGCTGGCCAGCTGACAACTTCATTTTGAACTGGTAGCCTCCAAAATTCGTCAACAACAGATTTTTATTTAGTCACCCAAATTTGTACTATTTGTTACAGCAGCCTCAAGAAGCTAATACATTCAACAAACCTAGAGTTTATCAGCTAACTAGCCATGATAAAACAACCACAAGAGCAATTATTAACTGACCACTAAAGTGAGTGTGTTACAAGCGCACTCATTGATTCTCAGAGTGAATAGAAAAACAAGATTATTCTATCCATTTTACAAATGGAGAAACTGAGGCCTAGGAGTATTAAGAATGGGCCCAAATCAATACAGTCAATATCAGGGCTTGGATCTGAAAACGTGTTCCAATAGGAAGTGAGGGATGATTTAAGAAAGACTATCAGGGACTTGACTAACCAAGATAAGTCAAGGTCACAGACTGAGCTGACAGAAGAGCTACGCTGGATTTCTGACTCCCCCATTAGGGTTTGTTTGCTCATCCTCAACAAACATTTCCTAGAATGCTAACTTAAATCATTATAGTAAATATGGAATGAGATCCCCATTCTCAGGAGGTCTACCTTTTATGAGAAAATCAGATTAAAACAACACAAAGCATAATGCAGTACTAAAACTTAGAACCTTAACTATTAATAATATTATCATGTTTCCTTTATTGAATGCTTGCCTTGTGTCTTTGTGGCAGGTGCTGTGCTCAGTTTACCATGTGCTTTGTTCTTCTCACCCTTTGAGGCAGGACTATTCTTATCCCACTTTGCAGAAGATGTGATGGAGGCTGAAGAAGTTAGAGAGGTGACCCAGGGTCACAGATAGATAGTAAGTTCTCCAAGGGGTTTCAGAGGAGCAAGGGACCACTACGTGCTGGATCTTTTGAGAGGGCATCGTGAAGGTAAAGGGGCACCCAAGGGCAGCAAAGGGCTCAGAGAACCCAACAACAGAGAAGAACATATCACAGGCTGCAGAGTGAAGATAGGCAAAGGCACGGAGGTACCAATGGCTTTGCTTGTTTGGGCAGCGATGAAGAGGCAAATGATCCAAGAAGGGGACATATGGGAGATTGATGAAGAAGTACGTAGAGGTTGACTGAGTGCCCTGCTCAGGAGGGGGATTTTCTTTGAGCAAAGGATTATTAAAGAGAGCATAGCATTGTGTACAAAGCAGGAGTCTAGAAAGATCTCTCTGCTGGGAGTGTGTCTTGGTCTTGAACAGAAAACCTGGAGACAGTGAAACCAGAGAGAAGCTTGTGTGTGTGTGTGTGTGTGTGTGCGCGCACGCACGCACGTGCATGCATGTGCACATACACATCAGCGTGTGTCTGTGTGTGTTTGGTAACAGTTCAGAAGTGAGTAAGGCCTGGAAAAAGGTGTTGCCCATGGGGATGGGAGGAAAGACAAATGGGAAGCAAGTGGGACATTTCCCAGTATCATGGGTAAAGGAGAAGGCCAAGGACTGGAACCATAGTAACTCCAAGCAGCTGAATTCTGGACAAAAAATCTTTCCAGCACGCTATAATTTCTGTGTAAAATCAAGACAAATAAAAGTCTTTTTGCAGACTGATCTGCCCTTTTACTATGGTGGGGGAATAGGTGACAAAGATCCTGGTGTCAGAGGGCCCCAGGTTCAAATTCTGACCTCATACTACCTGTGTACAAGCACTTAACCACTTGGTGCCTCAGTTTCCTCATCTGTAAGATGGTTATAAGACAGTACCTATGTCGTAGAGGATTGTAAGGAAAGGGATCTCCGCTTGAGCCCAGTCTCACTCCAGAGAAGAACAAACCAACGTTTAGTGACTAATGAAAACCACTTCTCAAAAATGTCCTAGTGCTAATCTCTTAAATGTCTTCCTTTATCTCTTACAAATCTATTTACTTCTGCATCAATGCTGCTTGATTCAGAATTACTATGCAGTGAACACTTGTCCATAATTAAATATCATAGAGAACACAGCTAAAATATAACCAAGCAATGTAATGCTTCCCAAAATCTATTCTGTACAACATTTGGCCTTGAATATGCTCATTTAAGAGAAAAAAAAAGAGCAAATAAATTTGGGAAACATTACATTTTTTATTCACTGTTCTCTTTTGGCAATTCACAATGAGCACCATATTATATGCTGTGAGAAGACCTCAACAAAAACCAATTTAATACTATAATGA